CCCACTAAACTCACCTTCCAATACCATCACACTGTGGATTAAATTTCAACATAAAAATTTGGAAGGGTCAAATATCCAAATCATACCATCAGAGTTCCTATCATAAATTTAATTTCCAAGATCTTGCAATTACCTATTTTTTTACTCTCTTTATAAGGTTCATTGTTGAAATAAATTATTTCAAAAAAATTTAATTTCCAGTTTAATTCCATTATGAATAGAGAACATATTCTAAATATTATAAGATTTTAGTCTTTTGAAATTTATTGAGACTTAATTTTTAACCCAACATGTAGTCAGTCTTATAAAAAAATTGTATGAATACACAAAAAAGAATGCATTTTCTGTCACTGTTGAATGTAGCATACTGTAAATGTCAGTCAGATCAAGGTAGTTGTAATGGATTGGATGTTTGTATCTCTCCAAAATTCTTGTTGAAATCCTTATCCCTAAAATGACAGCATTAGGAGGCAGTCTTTCAGAGGTGATTAGGCCGTGAAGGCCAAGCCTTCATGAATGGGACTAGTACTCTTGTAAAAAAGAGCCCAGTGAGCTTCCTCATCTCTTCCTCAATGTAAGGACACAGAAAAAGGTCCCCATTAGACAACTCTCCTGGTGCCTTGGCCTTAGACTTCTTAGCCACCAGAATTGTCAGAGTAATTGTTGTTTAATAGTCCATGGCATTTGTGTTATAGCAACCTGAATAAACTAAGACAGTGGTTGACAGTCTTGTTGAGATTTTCTATGTCCTACGATTATGGATTTATCTATCTTTCCCTTTAGTTTTGTCAGTTTGGGCTTCATATATTTTTAAACCCTGTCATTAGATAAATATACATTTATAACAGCTATATATTCTTGATGAATTAATCCTTTCAGCATAGTGAAATGTTCCTGCTTATCTTGGTAATACTTTTTGTCTTGAAGTCTACCAAAATATTTTTTAATTTTCAATTTTGATTTTTTCTTTGAGCCACTGGTTGTTCAGGAACATGTTGTTTAACTTTCACTTATTTGTGAATTTCCAATTCCCCCCTATTATTGATTTCTAGTCTCATACCAATATAGTCAGAAAAGATACCTGACATGATTTCAGTCTTCATAAATTGATTAAGGCTTGCTTTGTGACCTAATATGTTATCTATTCTGAAGAATGGTGTGTGTGTATGTGCATGTGTGTGTGTGTATGTGTGTGTGTGTGTGTGTGTGTGTGAGTGACATTCAGAAGAATGTGTATCCTGCTGCCATTGGAATGTTCTACATATGAACCAACAGAACTGATCAATGTATTAGTCTGCTTGGGCTGCCTGCCATAACAAAATATCATAGACTGGGTGACTTTAATAACAGAAATTTGTTTTCCCCTAGTTCTGGAGGCTACAAGTCCAAGACTGAGATGCCAGCAGAGTTGGCTTCTAATGAGGCTTCTCTTTCTGGCTCGCAGACAGCCATCTTCTTGCTGTGTCCTCACATGCCCTTTTGTGTGTGTGTGTGTGTGTGTGTGTGAGTGACATTCAGAAGAATGTGTATCCTGCTGCCATTGGAATGTTCTACATATGAACCAACAGAACTGATCAATGTATTAGTCTGCTTGGGCTGCCTGCCATAACAAAATATCATAGACTGGGTGACTTTAATAACAGAAATTTGTTTTCCCCTAGTTCTGGAGGCTACAAGTCCAAGACTGAGATGCCAGCAGAGTTGGCTTCTAATGAGGCTTCTCTTTCTGGCTCGCAGACAGCCATCTTCTTGCTGTGTCCTCACATGCCCTTTTGTGTGTGTGTGTGTGTGTGTGTGTGAGTGACATTCAGAAGAATGTGTATCCTGCTGCCATTGGAATGTTCTACATATGAACCAACAGAACTGATCAATGTATTAGTCTGCTTGGGCTGCCTGCCATAACAAAATATCATAGACTGGGTGACTTTAATAACAGAAATTTGTTTTCCCCTAGTTCTGGAGGCTACAAGTCCAAGACTGAGATGCCAGCAGAGTTGGCTTCTAATGAGGCTTCTCTTTCTGGCTCGCAGACAGCCATCTTCTTGCTGTGTCCTCACATGCCCTTTTGTGTGTGTGTGTGTGTGTGTGTGTGAGTGACATTCAGAAGAATGTGTATCCTGCTGCCATTGGAATGTTCTACATATGAACCAACAGAACTGATCAATGTATTAGTCTGCTTGGGCTGCCTGCCATAACAAAATATCATAGACTGGGTGACTTTAATAACAGAAATTTGTTTTCCCCTAGTTCTGGAGGCTACAAGTCCAAGACTGAGATGCCAGCAGAGTTGGCTTCTAATGAGGCTTCTCTTTCTGGCTCGCAGACAGCCATCTTCTTGCTGTGTCCTCACATGCCCTTTTGTGTGTGTGTGTGTGTGTGTGTGTGAGTGACATTCAGAAGAATGTGTATCCTGCTGCCATTGGAATGTTCTACATATGAACCAACAGAACTGATCAATGTATTAGTCTGCTTGGGCTGCCTGCCATAACAAAATATCATAGACTGGCTGGCTTAATCAACAAAAATTAATTTTCTCAATGTTTTGGAAACTAGAAGTCCAGGGTAAATGTTCTGACTGATTTGGTTTGGTTTCTGGTGAGAGTTCTCTTCCTGGCTTGTAGGCTGATGCCTTCTCGCTAGATCCTCACATGGTCTTTCCTTGATGTGCACAGAAGAAAAGAGAAAGTGAGTTCTCTGGTGTCTCTTCTTATAAAGACATTAATTTTACCATATCAGGGTTCTACCCCTATTAACTTAATTTACTCCTTATTATCTCCTAAGAGGCCCCAGCTCCAAATTTAGCCACACTGGGAGTTAGAGATTCAACATATGAATTTAGGGGATATTCAAACCTTTAGTTTATAACAATCAACAAAAGAAAAAGCTGAATCTTTACAAAGAGAAAGCACAAATAAATCATTATAAAAACAACTATATAAACAAAAATGCAAATGTTACTAGAGGATACAATGTATATACATTTAACTCAAAAAGAAATTTAAAAGTCGGATAAGAAGAGCATAAGAAAATAAAAGGTTATGTTAATCTCATCTAGGAAAGTAGATTTTTACAATCCTAACTATAGCAATCTAATCTGTTGGAATATTGAGAGAAAAATTCACTCCGACCAAACAGGCAGTAAGAGTAAAAATTAATTTGTCCATGAATGGTCACCTACAAGCTAGCCTCATAAAAGACGTGGCATCCTGCAAAACCCTGTAGAAACTGACTATGCCCCAGAGCAATCAGTTCTGGTCAACTACAATATTTGGACACCAGTGCTATCTCCAACCCTCATCATGCCAGAGAAGAAGCTAGTGTTAGCCCAACCATGTGTACTGATGTGGTCAATCCTACTCTTAATTGTAACCAAAAGGCCTAGATTTCAATTGGGCTGGGACATCCCATCTATTTTGAATGTCATGCTTTCACAAGAGTGTTGGAATGAAAGCTCTCCCACATCATATTGCTATCTTATTTTTGTCCCTGATCACACCAGAGGAGAAGCTGGTATTTTCCCAGTTATTTATTAAAGCTCCTCAACCCAACATCAAGGTCCCTCAATGGAATTTGTCATATGACTTAAAAAAATTGCTGTGCTCTGCTTCATAATGGGATAAGGTAATGGAGACCCTCCCACTGAGCTACTGACCCCTGTCCCTGTAAGCTTTCTCTCATAAAGGCTATAGGTCTGGATGTATGTATGGCTTGATCACTTGCCTTTTTTGCATGACATGCCCCATTATGGGTTAAAGAAGGAAACTTATACAATCATCTTCATATTTGCTCCAAATGTGTGAGAAATTCAATATCTATTTGTGATTTTTGTAACAAAAAAAAGTTCAATTTCAATCTAGCACTATTTATAAAAATAAATTCCAGACTGACTAAACACTAACATAAAAAGTATAAAATAACATATGTGTAACACTGAAATAGAAATGTATGTAAAACACAAAAGTCATAAAAGAGATTGATAAGCAAACATCAGGATTAAATCTCCTGTGTAACTAAAACTACTCTAAAAAAACTAAACCATCAAGTAAGCTGAAAGGCAAAAAAGTGACTAGGATTAAATATATTCAATAAACATGCATATGGATTAATATCCAGAATACATAGAGCCTTAAGTGACTATACTCAGTAGAAGAGCTTCCAAAAATCAGGGAAGCTATACAGTTGCTTTTTTGTTTGTATTGTTTTTAAATTTTCTAATACGACTAAGTTTATTTATTAACAGTAAAAGTTTGATAAGTAGTATCTAAGAGCACAAGAAGTATGAAACAGATTTGCAATTTCTAATATATTAATACAATGTATATGATTATATATAGTATATTTCAGGAGCAAAGAGAGGTAAAAGGAGGAAGGGGCCCAGGTTCGGAGGCTCAGCCTCTAACCCCAGTGCTTTGGGAGGCCAAGGCAAGTGGATTGCCTGAGCCCGCGGGTTTGAGACCAGTCCGGGCAACGTGGTGAG